TGAAATCTTTAATATATATATATTTAATTATATATATATATCTTGCGTACAGAGGTTTTATATAGAAGCTTTCTTTTTCTTTTTTGTAGATCTCGAGGAGAAGAAAAGGAAAGAAGGACTTTTAGCTAAGCGTGTAGAACTGAAACATGACCGAAAAGCGAGAGCTATGGCTTCTCGAACGAAGGACAACTTCTGTGGCTATAATGGCATCCCTGTTGAAGAAAAACCTAAAAGGAGGCTGAGTGGCGAAAGCAGATCTGATAGAAGTAGGGGCGCAGGGGAGTGTGCGACAGGTGATGATACGGAGGAATCTGAACACATTCAGACAGACTCTGAGCACGAATCTGAAGATTATGAAGAAAGGCCACCCAAAGCACCAGTGAAACCAAAGGCACCTCCCAAGGCTGCACCTCCTCCACACCTGAATTTTACAGATCTTCTAAAGCTGGCTGAAAAAAAGCAGTATGAACCCGTGGAAATAAAAGTCGTAAAAAAAAAAGAAGAAAGACCCATGACAGCGGAAGAACTGAGAGAACGAGAATACTTGGAGCGGAAAAACAGAAAAGTGGTTGCGCTAAAGGAGAAGAAAGGGGAAAGAGAAATGAAACACGTAGTGGCGTCTAGTGGCTCCAGAAAAGACCTTTCGCAGAAGGAGCCCTTGAATGCTAAACACGGCAAGCATTCCACAGACAAACATTCCTTCTCGAAAGGAAGCCTTTCCTCCCAAAGTGGTCATGATAAGACATCCAAAGGACCAGCATTGTCCTCCAAGCCTAAACACACTGAGAAAGTGAAACACACGCTCAAGGGACCTTTAAAAGGTCCGTCTGGCACTAGTCACGGTAAAGCCCCAGCCAGTGGAGAAGGAAAAATTGGATTAAGTTCCCGTACCCCAGTCTTGAAAACTGCTGCTAATGGGGCTCAAAAGCAGTCGTCTGTTAAAGAACCTAGTCTTAAGAGAACGATTAGCCATGTGAAACCAACGAGTGTGACTGCTGCACAGCATGAAAGTGTTAAACATTCCATCTCCAAGCAGGCAAGCAGCAGTTCTGGCACGGGAGACTCTCTTCCGCGGAAAAAAAGCAGCTTGAGTACGGGACCGGGGAGGCCAGGCAGCAACTTAAATCCTGGACGTGGGTTGCAGGGTCCCAGTTCCAGCACGGGACCAGGGCGATCGGGAAGCCACTCGGGATCCAGCCAACGAAGCAGCAGCAGCTCAAGTGTTGGGCCCGGACGGCCGGGCGGTAGTGTAGGTGTGGTACCCAGCAGACCAGGAAGCAGTTCGGGACCAGTGCGTTCTAGTAGTGGCCAAAGCATTGGCTCTGGGCGGCCAAACAGCATGCTGAACACCGGACTGGGGAGAGGAAGCAGCTCAGGGCCCGGACCAGGCCGGCCAAGCAGCACTTCAGTCGGGAACGTAAAACCAAAGTGCACTGTTGTATCAGAAACAATCTCATCTAAAAATCTGGTCCCCAGACTGCCTAGTGGCCAGGTGAATGGAATGAGACCACCACAGAGACCTGGGATTCCCCCACAAGGTATCTTTGCAGCTTGTGTTGTATGTCGGTTGATAGACGTCTTGTTATAGCGTAGTTTTTTGGAGGAGTAGCCTCAAACACTCTGCTAAACAAAATATTTCAGTCTTTATTCTGTTCCTCAAAAAAAAGGGGGGGCATTCTAATTTAATGTGGGGTTCATCTAAGTTCATTGGGACGCGCTTCAAGAAAATGTGTGCAGGATTTCAACCTTAGTTGCAAGCTCTGTAAAGGAAATCGAAATGCATGTTGTACGTGAGCTACTTTGCACTGTGTTTGCAGACGTGGATGGTGTCGTGTGGTTAATCTGCTTAGGTAAGTTTTTGACAAGTCATGTGTGCTTGTGTTAATAAATGTGTAGGTGAACTTGCATGGCTTGTAGTTCCCATAAATTCATGTAATAGGAGGGCTCCAGCAAGGACAGTTCCATGTACATGAGAATTTTTTACATGATTGGTAATTTGTAGGAGCAAGTTAAATTCCCCCTAGTCTGAAAGAATCACTCCAGTCAGGCAAAAGAGGAGCTGTGGTTCTCTTGGAACTATCATTTTGCCTTGCAGGCCAGGACAAATGGGGATTTTCCTTAATCAGTGTAGCAATCAGCAGAGGCATGGGCTTGGATCCTGTGACTCTTTTCTGCTAATAGTGTTGGCTTCCTCCAGCAGAAATCTCCACTGTTAGCAGACTGGAATCATTGGGGCCAACCAGTGCTGAGCTCTTAGGGTTCCATCGCAAAGTTGTTCCTGATCAGTTCACTTTCTGTGGTCTTTTACCGCGAGATATAGGGAGAGCGCAACAGAGAGAAGATGCTGGAGCACTACAGATACACAAAGATAAATTTTCCTCCAAAGCATAAAACATCCTTTCCAAGTAGGCTTCCCAAGTCCCCCCCGGGGGGTGGGGAAACTCCCACCCCAGAGGCCCGTTCCCTGCCGCCGGCAGATCGGGCCCCGGGGGGAACCCCACCCCGACATGCGCGTCACCCGGAAGTGATGCAGGCACGCTGGGGGCGGGCCACGGTCATCCGAGGGAAAAAACTATGGTTTTCCCTCGGATAGTCGTGGCCCCGCCCCCAGCGTGCCCGGCGGCGTCACGTCACTTCCGGGGAGTCCCCCAGTAAGGAGATATTTCAGATTGGCAACCCTATTTCCAAGTTCACAAAACTACATTTCCAGGGCTGGCATGACATGTAAAGTAGGTGGAGTTAAGTGGAGACTTGATTTTTGAGAGCAGGGAGTGAGGTCTTCACCGAAACGTACACTTCTGCAAATACGCAATAACTTAGACAAGAGACTGTACCAAATACATGGCACATACATTGACTTACATGGTGTAAACTGCCTTGAGTCTCAGTGAGAAAAGCAGACGGTAAATAAAATTTTGAATAAATATGTCTTACTTGTCATGTTTATTATGGGCAGGGCTTTGGCGACCCTGCAATCTAGCTTGCATGTCTCTGCAGTGTTAATAGTTTTGATGCAAGTAGTCTTCTTTGCACTCTTCAAAGTAAGACCCTTACAGTGACTAGCTCATTTTGTTCTTTTAGTATTTTATATCCATTGCTGCACACAATTTTACCCATGGTGAAATCACAAAAAACTGACTTAAGCAAATCAGGTACATCACAAAATCTTGCTAAATCTTTCTCCTCAGGTTATCCAAGGCCCTTTCTGCCTATTACTTCTGCCTATAAAAGGCAATATGAAGATGACGATGAAGAAGATTCTGAAATGGAGGACTTTATTGATGACGAAGGGGAGCCGCAAGAAGAAATCTCTAGACATATCAGAGAAATATTTGGATATGATCGCTCTAAGTGAGAAAATTAACTCTAAATATGATATTCAAACCATTATGTCATTGTGACAATCTAAAATGTGTATGTGAACTGTAGAAAAATATAAGCAAAAGATGCAAAAGGAGAAGCAGCTTTTTATGTGATCTTGTTTCATAATTCCACTTGAATTTCACCTTTGACATTCATCAGTTGTTAGGCTTGCCAAGTCCCCCCGGGGGGCAGGGAAACCCCC